AATAGCCACTAAATAGAAACAGAAACGGCACAAGTTACTTCTTGCAAATATATTTTCCAGAGAGAATGAAGCAATGTGGCAGCAAGTATCACATCTTCGAAATCAACATGTTAAGCAACAGCATGTTGTCAACAAATTGGTCCAATTTCTGGTAGCACTCGTACAGCCTTCACAGAAACGTCTTGGGAAACGAAACTTATTGGCGATCGACGAAGTACTTTTAGTCTTGTCCTTATTAAATGTGCAACTTTCTAGTGAAACTAAAATAGTGGTATTTGTAATAGTACCTCAGGATTTCTCGATTGTATCGGAAACTGTTGAGGCAAACACACGTATAGCTGACTTTGTGATTCATTTTTTATATGTCTACAAAGAAAAATATATCTGAATTCCGTAGTGTAGCATTGTAGTTGAGAAAAATCGGGCGGCTTTCAACATTAAGACTTAAGTTCAATCATGAGATTGAAGAGTTTTGAAATAATAAATTAAAATTTCTGCAGTTAAGGCGAATTTTTTTGAGCATTTAAAAAAAATTCTACTTAAGTAATTGCAGATTGGTGTTAAACGTGCACGAATGGCTAGTACTTCTACGCAACTTGGGCAGCCGAGTAATCTTGCTGAAATTATTGATCGCTTGCATCGTGAAATCTCTGATAATACAAATGGTCAAACGAAGCTAAATTTAAATGTATTTAGCTCACACTCTGATCAGGGTCCAATTATTGCGGATGTTACCGATGAACCGGAAAATACTGCTGTCGTAGGGCCAAATGTGCAGGCAGCAGTTGTTCCCATGTTAACTGCTACACATTTGCAACCTGCTCCTGCTAATACATCGCAAGTTTCAACTAATTCCCCTAACCCGATCTCATTATCACCATCATTGGACAGACAAATATCCGAAGAGTTAGCTGAGTACTTGAGCGGACAGGAGCAGAGTATTGACAACTGTCGTGATCTGCTTGGAAACTGCTGGGATACCATGATGACTGATGATGTAGAAGATGGCGAACCAATTGAACGGCAACCTCTTATGCTAGAAGATCGTGATCCAATATTGGCATTGGACGAAGTACCAACCACCCCAGATTTACTGACACCACTGGCAAGCCCTTCCCGTAATAATATTTAAAAGAATCAGTTTTTAGGTAGTTAAAATTCTTTACACTCTTTGAATTTCTTTATTTGATTTATAGTAATCGCTATAAAACAGTATTATATTCGATTAGCAATATGTTTTGTACAATAATGGGGTAGGCAACAAATCGATTTGAGGCAAAAAATATTTTGGACAAAATTTTGGTTCCAATTTTCAGTGAAATTTTTGAACTGCAGCTTATTTCTATTTACTTTCTACATTTAACATTTTAGAAAAGAAACTTTATTAAGGGTAAATATAAAATTTAATTCGAATTTTTGGCCTGATATGGTGGTACGATTTCAAGTCGTTTCTTAGTTCGTGGTGGAATTGGATTGCTGCGAAAAAGTTGTTGCGGTTGTGGGTCAAAGTAGACGATATCACTGGGGCGGAAATTGGGTACTGGTGCCGGTATTGCAATGGCTGGTGGCGGTGGTGGTGGACCCCGATAAGCTGGCGGATGCCAATCAGGTGGAGGAATTGGTATAGGACCCGTTGTTCGTGCTGGCTGAAGTGGTGGTGGTGGCTGCGGTGGTGGTAGTTGTTGTACATTTGGTGCATAATTTGTAGCTAAACGTTGGGTTGAATAACGTTTTCCACCAGTATGTGAACCACCACTTTTACCATGCATCGCCGACGCATCACCGCCACTAACTGCAATACCGCCTCCTCGTCCTTTATTTGTTTCAGTATTTTGTCGCTTGTCACGCAAATGTTCCTCACTTCGGTCATATGTTCGATGATTGTCTGTACGATTTGTAGCACCTGCAACTGAATTGTTTTAAATTTGTCAGCATTTTCTTATCACAAGCATATCGTTTTAAGTGAAATATTGTTCATTGTATATAGTCATAAGTTTGTTTCCTCTTTTTCCTAATGTTGCATTGAGATTCAAAGTTTTGAAACATTAATTAAGCTTATATTGCAATTTTTGTAAATACAATAAATTAATGTTTTTTCAGTTGTTACTTTACATAGTGATTAACTATTCTTCCTGGTTATTTTGCCGTCCAGCCAAGTTACGCGTTCTTTCAGTTTCTGTCTCATTCAACTGTCAATAATTTGCACAAGACATTTGACAGTGAGTGCATGTGGGCTGAACGGCAACTCAACCTAAATGTCTAGATGCTCAAGAAGCTTGGAATTTTCTTATCAGATATTGTAATATGTGAAACCAGTTTGCTTTGGCAGGATATGCGTGTTTTCCTGAAAACATGATATTTACCTGTATTCGGTGAAATTATTTTTTTCTAGAGTTTAGTTTTGTTAAAGTTGTTTTGTTTTCTGCGTGTTCTAATTACATCTGTTTAAGTTAACTGTTGTGTTAAAAAATTTTCTCATGTTTCGAACGAGGCGTGTACTTATCTGTACTGGTATAAATTATTATTTTAAGAGTTATTTTCATAACAGAGACATTTAACGAACGTGGAAACTTAATGGAAAGGAGGATGATGAAGAACTCAAGCGATTAAGAAATAATTTCAATGGTACTAATTTTGAATTACACGCAGCCCGAGAACTATCACTTCAAGGATATAACATGCATCAAATTTTTTTCGCACAGTAACGAATTTAAAGCTTTTTTGCATAATCGAACTTTGAAACGAAGAGAGTTTTTACATAGTTTGAGGTCAGAGACATTGAAATGTAATGGGTAATTAATTAAACTAAGAAAATGTGCAGAAATTTGGAGTGGATATAGATTCCACCTCACTGGTATCAGCCTCACACCATTCGCGGATTATACCTTCAGATCTAATTAAAGTAGTACCTTTCTGCGTATGCATGGGTGAATTCTTGAAAACTCTGGTTCCATGTTGATCTCGCTGATGGTTTATATTGACATGATGCTCACTTTTTCGACCACCCCGGTTTGCCGGCCTTCCTGTACCACTATTCTGTATTGCTCTCTTACGATCACGTCTGCAATCACTAACATATGTTAAAAATAAGCTAAAATAATATTGAGTTGTCCAAAAAAAATTCCAAATTGGGCTAGTGTACAGGAGCTGAGAAAGTTTAATTTCAGAGTTTCTGGAATTCCGCCCTAACCACTATTGAGAACAAAATTTTCCATGCAGTTTTCTTTAAAGACTGTCAGTATATTAAAGCGTGGCACTTAAATTTACGGTTCTTCCAACCTAATTTGAACGTTGGGATATAGCAATACGGAACTTGTCTTCACTTACCTATCATCTGGTTGATGTTGTGGATGATGTAGTGGTGTTCGATTTGAATGTCTACCTCGATTCCCATAATTAGGCCTAGATGTACCTCGATTTTGATTGAAATGTGGTGTCGAAGCATTCATGCTGCCACCACCAGTATTTTTACCCTGATTATGCAGAGTTTATTTCTTTGTTCTTTAAGCATAACAAGTAATAAAATCATATAAGAATTTGTAAATAAAACACTTTGACTTCTTGTAAAAGTATTACTTGAAAAGCGAACGAATTCTCAAAGTTATTTTTGGATTTAGTACTAGTAAGCGCATTGAAGTTCACCTCATTACGTATGTCATAACCATATCTATTCATTAATTCTCGCTTAGTTTTCGGTCTTTGTGAACGCTCATCAAAACGATCATGCTTCCATTTTCCATCTGCCCGAGAATGCGATGACGGTTCTGATGTACGTTCTTCATCAGTATTTCTTGAATCATGCATATAGTATCGTCCAGATTTCGGAATAAATGCCGGGTTGTCCTCAACTTCATCATCATCTGGTTCCGCTTCTTGTTCCTGAATGATTTATCAAATATTTTTAGGTGTGCAAAAGAGTCATAGACAGTCCATATATTAGCTAAAGCATTGCTTCAACAAACTGTTATTAACTTCAAGGCACCGTAAGTTCAATCAAAGAAATAATTCCTGTTAAAAGGATAGTTCATTAATAAATTGCGGCTTTCTAACAGTGCAAAGTGCTTTCCTGTTAACATAAGGCGTCATAAGATTTGAAATAAAGCTTTATAAACTAACCTCTTCATCATAGTCATACCCTTCTTCATCCTGAATTTCTTCCGGTTGTTCCTTTGTTTCTTCACCAATTTCAACAGCATCATCTTCTGAAGTACCATCGATTTGAGTAGATGATTTGGCATCGACAAAGTGATCCGCATCATCACTACTTACTTCCTTATCATCCAGAGAAGTGGATCCTTCTTTTGTTTTATAATCTCCCTCAGAACCACTGTTTTCCTTCTCCGTACCTTTATCTGTCTCTTTCACTCTTTCATCCTTGAGATCATTTTCTTCCTTTTTTCCATCAGATGGTTTAAAAGCAGCATCGGAATGTTCTACAATGACAGCTTTAGTTTGATTTTCAAAAAGTGCCGAAAAAGTGCCAGGTGTTGTAACTTCAGGTTTTAAAGTTTGATCAGAAATAATTTTAAGATTATGCTCAGCTGAATCAGACACATTACAGTCCGTTTTATTTTTTTGATCAGAACTGTTGCCAGAATTCTGTAAATAGCTGACTTCATTAGTTGTTGTAACAGCAGCAGTGGTATTTTCAGTTTCAAAAGTACCAAATTCAGACCTATCAGTATTTTCTTTGTCTGCAATAGCATCATCATTTGCAACCGTATTACTACTATTCGATGATTGAATCAAATCTGTTTTCTCTTCGGTTGCTATCAATGATGATTTCTCGGGCGTGGTGAGCATTGTTGTAGAAGTTACGGCGAAATTTGAACGGAACTGTGTATTTTCTAAATTTTTTGATGTAGTGCATGATGGAATCAAATTCTCAGCAATATCTTTTTTTTCTTCTTCCATACCAGAAACAGCTGTAGTAATGCTAGTCGTAGTATCAGTAGTACTACCAGTAGTAGCAGTAGTAGCAGTAGTAGTAGTAGCAGTAGTAGCAGTAGTAGCAGTTGTAGTAGCAGTAGTAGTAGTAGTAGTAGTAGTAGTAGCAGTAGTAGCAGTAGTAGTAGTAGTAGTAGTAATAGTATCAGTACAGACAATTTCAGATTTTTCTACTTTTACTTCAGATTCTGCCGCCGACATTATGCCTTTGTCAAAGAAGCACAAAGCAGTATAGAAGTAAAAAAGAAAAAAAAAAACAAAGAAATAAACTAAATATACAGGTCAATTCATAAACTTTCTTCCTTCCTTCCTTCCTTCCTTCCAATAAATGCTCACCCTCAACGTTCCTCCTTCTAACACACAACGTTTGACCTTAGACCAAAACAATCCGACAATCCAAACTAATACAATTCCGAATATTGTAGCACTATATCGGTTGTAAAATAATTTATATTTCCTCAAAAAAAAAAAAAAAAAATAGCAATAATGAAATAATATTTAAATAATGATATTTACTAAACTTATAGTTGCATGAAAAAAATTTTTTTTAAATATCATAAAATTATCAGCCGTAGATAGTATCATCATTTTACATAAGATAAATTCATTTTAGATGATCATGAAATAAAATTTACAATAGCATAAATTTTCTTTTTTTTTTTTTTTTTTGCGAAATCATATCATAAATTTTGCTTTTTCTTACTTACTTAATGCATAATATAGAGGAAATGAAAATTTTCTAAATTATTATTCAAAGAGACAGTTCAAAAAAAAAAAAACAATCATCGTTCTGTTGCTTCATCACTCATCAATAGATATAGGAAGATGTAAATTTAGCAAAA